TTCTTGAATAAATAAATGCTCTCTAATCTTTTTCCCCATTCACCAGCCACAGGTTGCCAAGCAAGCTGCTCTAAACACCTAGTAGGTTCCATGAGTAGAAACTGTTGGCAAAACTTCATCATTCCTCTGGCCACTGTGATTACTTTAGGTGGGCACGTGATCCAAGCCCAAATCACACCCAGGACTGCTAGCACCATCAGGAAAGAAATATATCTTTCAATACTGGTTGCTTAGCAGGTAGAATAAATACCCAAAGCTGATCTCTATCTTTGCTACTGCATGGGTGGAGCCTGCCTAGGAATCACACCACAACAAAGGAAGTGGAGCCAAGAGAGGGATTAGGATCTTTCAAATCCCTAAATCTTCTATGTCTAAAGGTAAATCTACTTCCAGGCTTTTCAGTTACTTTAATTAATAAATCAGACAGGATTTTAGTTCTGTCACCTGCAAAAGAGTCACAACAAATGTAAAATTATTTGAAAAATATCAGTCTGGTCTCTAGCACGTACAAGTCTCCAGGTTCAATCCCGGCATTGTGCAGCCCTCTAAGTTCTGATGAATTATCCATGGTAGCCCAAGTACCACAGGGATAGTGGTTTCAGAGCATCATGGGGCCCATAGCACTTCTGTAGCCAGGAATGCCTTCAAGAAGAAAAAAATATACAAGAAAGGTTCCCCAAAGATTTTATCTTCTCTGGGGCTGGAGAGAATACAGCAAGTAGAGTACTTGCTTTGCACGTGGCTGACCTAGGTTCCATCCCCAGGATTTTCCATATGGTCCCGGAGCCTGTCAAGAGTGACCCCTGAGACCAGAACTAAGAGTGATCGCTGACTGCTGGAGGTGGCCCAAATTCTCTCTTACACACACACACACACACACACACACACACACACACACACACACACACAGAGATTTTATCTTCTCCTTGACATTACATTCTAACAAGTACACAGCATTTCCATCTCTAAATCACTCTCCCATGATATACCATCTGATCTACAAACCAAGAAATAAATGTATCAATGAAACAGCTCTGTACAGTCAAATTCACACTGAATATCTGAAGACACTGAGGCACAGAAAAAAAATTACTAACATGAAACTGTTTGATTTGAAATTAAAATTCAAGTTTCTGGGTCAGAGCGGTAGTGCAGTGGGTAGGGTTCTTGCTTCACACTTGCTTTCTGTCTCCAGATCACTATACTCCTCACTACTGCTTAGCAATGGCAGTTCTCAACAAACCATCAAGAGAGCTGGGAACCTGACTAAACAGAGTACAGTTCTGCTCCCGAACAGCACTGTTCCCCTGACCCCGCGCGGATCTGCCTCGTTTCAATCAGGCCTCCCCTGCTCCCTTTCCTGACAGAGACACAAACAAGTCCACGCACAGTAGCGCACTGCCTGTACATCACGGCCGTAAGCGGGGGTGTCTGGCACTCCTGAAAGTCGGTGTCCCTTCTCTCCAGTGTCCCGAGACTCTCAAGTGGACCTCAGTGGAGAGGATCTGAGGAAAATTTCTAAGACACTGCACTTCAGTTCACGTATAAAATGGGAGAGAAGGGCTGGAACAATAATACAGTGGGTAGGGCATTTGCCTTGCATACAGCCGACCAGGGTTCAATCCCCAGCACCCCATGTGATCCCCCAAGCACCGCCAGGAGTAACCATAATGCATTGTCAGGAGTGATCCAAAAAAGTCAACAAAAAAAAAATGGGAGAGAATATTTGCAAAACATGTGTCTCATAAGGATCTAGTATCTAGAATATATGAAAAATTCTCATAACTCAAACAACAAAATTATATTACCTGCCTGTGCTCAGAGATTATTCCTGACTCTGTGCTCTGGGATCACTCCTAGCAGTGCTCAGGGATTATATGGGGAGCCAGGAATCAAACCCAGTCAGCTGCATGCAAGGAACTATCTCTCCCATACACACACACAAAGTCTATTTTAAACATACAAAGGATGAGGCCAAAAAAGATAATACAGGGAAACTGTGCAGAGACAGCACTTGCCCATTTCTATCCCTGAAACATATACTGTCCCTCCAGGAACCACCAAGAATGATCCCTGAGCAAAGTGTCAGGAGTAGTCCCCAAGCATCACCAAGTAGTGATCACTAACCGAAAAATAAATAGGGGCTGAAGCAACAGTACAGCGGGCAGGGCTTTTGCCTCACACGCAGCCAACCCGGCTTTGATCCCTAACTGGGTCCTCATATGGTCCCCCAAGCCCTGCTGGGAGTTGTTCCTGAGCGCAGAGTCAGGAGTATGCCTAAGCATCATAGGAGGTGGTCCCCAGAATAAATAAATAGGCAAAGGACTTAAACAGAAATTTCTCCAAAGAAAATATACACAGTATTTGAAAAGATATTCAACATCATTAGTCATTAAGGAAATGCAAATAAAAGCCTTGAGAAGATATCACTTCACACCCACCACGATGGCTGTAATTAAAACAAATAGGAAAATAACAAGCAAGTATGTGGAGATATGGAATCCTTTTTCTACATTACTGTTGGAAATGTAAAATGGTGCAATGACTCCTATAGAAAACAGTTTGGCATTTCCTCCGAAAGTTAAACAAAGAATTAACACTCAACAATTCTACTACTCCAGGGGCTGTAGTCAAAAGAACTGAAAAAAAAAAAAAACTAAAAAGTAAATCCACCCACCCCCCCATTTCTTTTTGTGGTGCTGGTCATCAAATCCAGATTCTTGTGTAATCAAGGCATGTACTCTACCACTAAATTGCACTCAGGGAGGGATGGAGGGCGGGAAAGAGGGAAGAAGCAAGCAAGCAGGCAAGCAACAACAGAAATGAAAACCTGAAAAATCTTCAAAGTGTGAAAGGGGCCTAGGGGCATCACTCAATAGCATAGCACTGGCCCTGAAGGTGTGAGGTCTGGAGTTCAATCCCCAGCATCAACCCACATACCTAAGGTGATACCTGCACCACAACAAAGTGTATGATCTCCAATGCACCACAGACAAGTGTGTACTAACACTGCAAGCTAAGTGTGTGACCCCATCAAGCATGAGAATCATCAATCACTCATCATAACACTCATCATCATAAAGTAGGGAAAAGTGGCACCGGAGCTAAGTGATGAATAAGTTTACCAATAGAAAAGGTAGAAAGGGGGCTGGGGTGATATGACAGCGGGTGTTTGCCTTGCGTGTGGCCGACCCGGGTTCGATCCCCAGCATATATGTCCCCTGAGCACCGCCAGGAATAATTCCTGAGTGCAGAGCCAGGAGTAACCCTTGTGCATCACCGGATGTGACCCCAAAACGCAAAAAAATAAAAAATTTTAAAAAAGAAAAGGAAGAAAGACCTTCCAAGCACAATGAAAAATATGAATTAAAACATAACTGTTTACTGAAAATCTCTGATGTTTACCAAGACTGTATTATCTCTAAGAGCCAACTCATGGAGTGCCAAATTTAATTAAAAGCTTGCACTTTCATAATAAATGCAGGGAATGAACCAGTAAGAGTAAGATAGACTTCTGAGCGGGAAGGGTGATGGTTAGTCTGATTTGTTAGATGAGTCTGGAAGCCAGCAAGGAGGAGAGACAAAAAGGGAAGAGACATGGTTCCCCGGAACACCACTGGGAGCAGCCCCTAAGCACCAAGTCAGGCATCACACCTGAGCACTGCTGGATGAGCCCTCCCAGGAAAAACACACATGCGCGCATGCACGCGCGCTCGTACACACACACACACACACACCACATAAACGAACAAAAGGGAAAAGCAGACATGACTGCTGCCATGGCTGGAGCCAAACCTGATGTCCAGGTGCCAGCAGCCAGCAGCCAAGCCCTTGCAGCAGACAGGCACTAACAGAACCCCCTATCAAGCTTACAGAGACAGGCAGGGCGAGGTTCTTTGCTCTGTTTTTGTTTTTAAACTATTCATGTTGGGGCCTAGGGATGTGGCTCAAGTGGCGGACCACATGCCTAAAATGTGTGCAGCCCTGCACTGGAACCATCCTCAGCGCCACATGGTCCTCTGGACATCATCAACCCCTGTGGCACTGGTGGCCCCAGACAAGCACCACTTGACTTCTCTATCGCATCACCTTCCACCATTACCAGTTCAAATACCCATTGCCCAACTTTTGAAAAACACAAAAAAAACTTTAAACCTGCTTCTTCTGGTTCCTCCTCAAAATCCCCCCCTCTTTCCTTCCTTTCCTTTCCATTCTATTTCTTAAAAGAGAACTCCCGACTTGCTCAGCTCACATTCCCAAAAGCCACAGTAGTCCAGCATCCATCCCCACCCTCTGCTGAAACTGCCAGCCCCGAGATCACCAATGACTCAGAAGCCCCATTTCAGGGCTCACCCTACTCGCTCTCGGCTGCAATCACCGCTTATCTTGTTTCAGAAACTCTTCCCCATCATGGCTCCCTAGGCAACGTTCTCTCCCACCTCTCCTCTAACTTTTCTGTCCATGCATATCTGAGTACCTTAGGCTCTATCCTCTACCTTTCCACATTCTGAAGATTTTACTCAGGGGATCTCCCATTTACACCTATGGTTTTCACTCTCACTTAGAAGTCATCTGTCTCGTATGTTCCCACTTTTGAGGCTCTCAAAAAATAAATTCTATTTTCCTCCCAAATCACAACCATTTTTTTCTGAATGCAGCATCTCAACATCAGTATCAACTTGCCAAGCCAAGAGCAGGTGATGTGGCTGAAGTAGAAGAGCACACACTCTGCATATACAAACCCCGCGTTCCACCCTGGACACTGCACGCTTGCCCCCTCCAGCAACACTGTAATGGAAAAGTCCCCACAACTTAAAAACATATATTTTTTTTGCTTTTTTGGGTCACATCTGGGGATGCTCAGGGGTTACTGCTGGCTCTGTGCTCAGGAATTACTCCTGGCGGTGCTTGGGGGACCATATGGAATGTCCAGGATTGAACCCAGGTTGGCCATGTGCAAGGATACCCTACCTCCAGTCCCCGAAATATAAAATTTTTATCATGTTTCTTCTTAATCTGTATCAGAACTTATACAGCAATGAGTTCTGAACTGCATAAGATGATTTATTTTTACCACCTGTCTCAAAGTCTTTGTCCACACATCAAACAAAAACTTTCTAAATCCACAGCTCGCCAGCATCACAGTCAAACCCAGTAACCTAACACCTCCTGACATTTTATTCATGTGATTTAAAAGGACACTCGTGATCACTGTCCTTGTTCCACCCTCATTATTTGCATAATAATTCTCATATAAGTTCAGTCTCTGACTGGCTTCCTGACTCTAGTTATAATCTGCCCATTCATAGGCTCCTGAAGAGGTCTTTACAAAATAACACTCTGAATATGTCACTCCCCATATTCAGTAAATATCTACAGTAGAATTCAACTACTGGATGACGACTGGAATGGGAAGGAATGGGAGTAAAGATGGTCAGCAACTACACCACCTCCGCTTCGCTGATGACATTGTTCTAATAACACCAAACATTAGTCAAGCAGCACCAACACTGGCCGACTTCGACTGTGAGTCTGGAAAGGCTGGATTGCAGCAGAATCTCACAAAGACAATTCATGGTCACGGTCCTCCCGTTATTCATCGATTTGCACGAGCAGGCCCAGTAACATCTCCATCATGAGACTTGTTGTTACTGTGTTTGACATATCGAATACTTCATGGGTAGCTTGCCAGGCTCCGCCTTGCGGGCGAGATACTCTCCGGTAGCTTGCCGGGCTCTCCGAGAGGGGCGAAGGAATCGAACTCGCGTCGGCCATATTGGTCGCTTGCAAGGCAAACGCCTTCCCCGCTGTGTTATCGCTCCAGCCCAACCACCAAGACAATATTCATGAAAAACAAACTAATTCCTGACATTTCATTTGCTCTCAACGAAAGGAATATCTCTGAATGCAACAGTTATGTGTACCTAGGTTGAAAACTCAACATGACAAATGACCTGGCACCCGAGCTGCGCAGGAGGAAGACAGCGGCTTGGAATGCCTTCAAGAACGTTGAAGAAACAGCTAAGAGGACAAAGAACCTCCGGCTCCAGACACATCTCTTCTACTCCACCGTTCTTCCTGCATTAACATATGCCTCAAAAAAAAAAAACCATACGCCTCAGAGAGCTGGGCCTTACGAAAACAGGATGAGAACACTATTTGGGTCTCCCAAAGAGGAATCAAAAGAGCTATGCTTGGAGTATCACGCTTCACCCAAGTGAGAGAAAGAATCCGGAGTTCCGACCTCCATTGACAATCTAGAATCAGGGATGCTGTCTCGTTTGCCTCAAGGTGTTGAAAATCAAATGGGCTGGACACCTAATGCGATTTGGAGACGACCGCCAGACTAGAGACATTACCAACTGGATTCCACGGGATGTCAAAAGATCGCGTGGCTGCCCACCTACAAGATGGTCAGACTTCTTAGTCAAGACCCTGAACGATCAGTTTGAGGCTCTTCATGTTCCTGGAGCGAAGCAGACGCCATTGGGCTACACTAGCATGAGACAGGGACGAATAGAGACATTCCTGGCACCCGTTCGAGCAAATCGATTAGTAATGGGATGTTCAAGTGATCATGAGTTCAACTCTAATCAGGCGCCTCCCAAGCAGCCCAAGTAACCAACACAAGGAAAAACCCCCCATTCCTCAGAAACACTACACACTAACTCACTCACACTGCCTAGAATGCATTCCAGGGCCCTGTGTGCAAACCACACCTCTAGACATCCTTAAAGGTACTGCTCAGTGGGCCTGGGAGATCGTTCAGAGGGGCTGTAGTACATGTCTGATATGCACAAGGTTCTGGGTTTCAATCCCTGGCACCACAAGGTTTCCCAAGCATTGCTGGCTGCAGCCTTGCTGTGTGGCCCCCGGCAACACTAGGGAGATCCAAATATAAAAACAAAACAAAGCTCAAAAGACTGACAACACGCTTTGCATAGTGGAGTCTTGGGTTCAATCCCCAGCGGTAACTGCACCTATGAGCACAGCCAGAAGTATCTCTCAAGCAGAGCCCCAAAACAGATGGAGCTTAATATTTTTTGAAGCATTCCCTGACACTCTTGTCAAGCATTTAAAGCCTCCCTTTTCTCTCCCAGTACGTATTCTATGTCCCTCTATTGTAGCACTTTTGAATAGCACTATATTGGGGGCACTTCATATATGCTTATATTCTCGAGGAATCTATAGATTGTTAAAGGACAAGGACTATGTCAGCTACATCTCTTGTAAACCAGCCCAACTGCCCAGATTCTCAAGGTAAGCAATGAGATTAGACTTCCATCATGCCAGGAGATATTCTCCTGTAGCACAACCAAACTCTAACAACAGAAATTTTTCTCCTGTTTGTTTAGAAGCACACCCAGCAGGGCTTTGAGGCTGTTCCTGGCACTGCTTGCTCCCAGTGGTACTGAGGATGAAACCTGGGGCTCCCACATACAAAGCATGAACTTACATCCTTTGAACCACTTCCTTGACCAGCAACAAACAATCTTAATAGCTTCAACTTCCCTTCTTAGAAATTCTTTCAGATACTGATGGGACTCTTGACCTCAGAGAAGGTATTCTTGACTTGATTTCTGGGCCCCTCTATCAAAACTGCCTGAGAGAGAGTACGTTTATGATATGTACCTTGTACACAGCCAATCTGAATTCAATCTCCGGCATCCCATATGGTCCCCTGAGCAGTGCCAGGAGTAATTCCTCAGTGCAGAGCCAGGAATAATCCCTGAACATTGCTGGGTGTGGCCGAAAAAAAGGCAAAAACAAAAACAAGATTTGGCTTGCTCTTCCAGCTCATATTCTCCCTTGAATACATATCTTGCTTATCAAATGTTTCTTTGTTTGCCTATTTCCAATCCAGAGAAGCCTGTATTCTCTGTTGAACACATATTTCTCCCTTTCTCTCCCATCACATTTTTCTAAATTTCAATAAAACCATCCTTGCTTTAAAAAAAAAAAAACTGCCTACCTGCGTATTAATAGGAGTGAAATTTCTCCTGTTTCTATTGCAGATTAAAACTATCTCAAAAATTATTTTCTTTTAATGCTGGAGAATAAATCCAGGGCTTCACATATGCAAGAGATGTAGTCTATCAGAGTCACATCTCCAGCCCTAGAAAATGATTTTTTTCTTTAGTTTGGTTTTGTGGCCACACCTAGCAGTACTCAAAGCTTACTCCTAGCTCTGCACTCAGGGAATCACTCCTGGTTGGGGTGGGGGGGGGGGGGGTTTGGGGTGCCAGGGATAGAATCCAAGTCAACCACATACAAGGCAAAAACCCAACCTGCTATATTATCTCTCCAGCCCGAAAAACAATTTCTTAAATTACAAGTAGAACTAGAAAGTTCCAGGTCCATCAGCAAGTACTTTAATAACTATATGGCCACTTTATATGCACCTTCAAAGGTAGCCGACAGCCATACAGAGTCATGCGGAGATGTTCTGGAGAAGTTAATGCATTTACCTAGCATGTGACCAGACCCAATTCAATTCCCAGACAACACTGGTTCTCCAAGCACAGAGTTGAGAATAGCCCCTGGGCATCTCTCAGTATGGCCCAAATACCCAAAAGTTGCTGAGATGATTACAACAACCACCTTTGGGAAGCTCTACTATATACCACATGACTTGCCACAAGCTGCTTTACACCTGGAAACCTACAATGGCTTCTCACTGCCTAAAACCTTACACAGTATCCTGATTGTGAGCAAGAATTCTAAAACATAGTACCTAGGCCTAAATTCCCTCTCTACCATCTGTGAACCATGTGAATTTGAACAAGTCACTTAAGTTCTCTGGGCCTCGATTTTCTCACACATAAATAGAAAAATAACTGTACCTACCCTCTCATGGTTCATATAAAATTTAAAATGCTAATAGGAATCCAATACTGGGTCTGGAGATAAAATACTAGGAATAATAGGAATCATTAGGAATTCAATAAAATAATAGAAGTAAAATAATAGGAATTCAATAAAATTTAACAGAATAGAATTAAATAATAGGAATTCACTATGGGGCTGGATAAAAGTGCATGCCTTTAAACTTCTTCACCACATCCTCAGGACTTAATCACAGACCCAGTTGGCTGAGAATTGACAAGATGGGCCTCCTGATCACTGCTTGGAAAACCTAAAATAATAAATATATTTTTAGTTAAGGAAGTTTAGTATTAAAAACCCTAACTAAGAAAGTGGGGCAAGAACAATAGTACAGTGAGTAGGGCACTTGCCTTGTATGCAGCTGACTGGGGTTTGATACCCAACATTCCATATGATGCCCACCAGAACATCCCAAATGATGTCCGTTCTCCAAACCTACCCCCCCACCCCCCGGCCCAGCAGGAGTGATCCCTGAGTACAGAGCCAGGAGTAAGTCCTGAGTACCCCTAGGTACGACCCAAAAATAAATAAATAAATAAATAATTATACTGAGAGGCCAGAAAAGTGGTTTAGTAGGAAAGCTGATGATTTGCATGTATGAGGCCCTGAGTTTATTCTTCAGCATGAGAGAGAAAGACAAAAAAATGATTTTAAAACAAAACAAAATAGTGCTTGGTACATGGTTAAGAGCTTATTTGAGTAAATTCCATTAACAGATTTTGGTTTTAAGAGTGTCTGATACAGAGAAGAGCTGTTGCCCTGCTCATTTCACGTTCTATTAACTCATTAGCTCCCAATTCTTTTAACTTTTTACTTCTCTCTTATGATGATCCGCCTCTACCCAGAATAACAATCCCCATTGCCCAGTCCTTCCCTCTATCCTTAGCTGCAAATTCCCTCTGTCAGTGCCACTTCCAGCTGCCGTAGAAATAACCTGCTCCGCAGATTGCCCACAGGGGAGGCCATCCGGAAGAGAAGTAAAAAATACCACCTTCTCCTAAGCATCCTGTTCTCAAGGCTCACACCTCCCTGCACTGAGATCATTCTTACAGTCCAAACGTTTCCATGCATTTCTGTAGTGTGAAAGCCTTAAACAGGGCCGAGAAAATAGCTCAAAGGGCTGGAGCACATGCTTTGTATGTGGAAGCAAGTCCTGGGTTCAATTCCAGGCTCCTCATAGTCTCCCAAGCATTGCCTGGAGTAACACCTAGCTCTGATCAAGGAGAAGCCCAAAACTAAAG